GAGGGAACACAAGCAGGGGGAGAGGGAGAGGGAGAAGCAGGCTTCCCATGGAGCAGGGAGCCCAATGTGGGCTTGATCCCAGGACCCTGGGATTATGACCTGAGCCGAAGGCGGACACTTTATAGCTGAGCCGCCCAGGGGCCCCTGGTTCCTTTTCAATGCTTCTTTTGTATAAGGTGTATAAGCAAATACATATAAATATATATACATGTTATATATGTGCATATTAACAGTAAACAAAACAAAAACACCGAGTTGTAGGCTCGGGGAATAATAGCTACAAACAAAACAGACAAGGAAGGTAGCCTGTGCTTTTTTTGAGTTTATGTTGTAATAAAGAATAAACAAGCCAGATACTATAATCATAGATTGTGACAGATGCCACTCAGGGAATTATTTATTCATTTATTTGAGAGAGAGAGAGAGGGAGAGAGAGAGAGAGCACGCACACACACGTGAACAAGAGCATGCAGGATGGGATAGAGAGAAAGAGGGAAAGAACCCCAAGCTGACTGTGTGCTGAGTGGAGAGCCCCGCGTGGGGCTCGATATCATGACCCTGAGATCATGACCTGAGCCAAAACCAAGGCGGAGGGAGAGAGAATCTCAAGTAAACTCCCTGCTGAGTGTGGAGCCCCACTCCATGCTCAATCCCAGGACCCCGAGATCACGACCTGAGCTGAACTCAAGAGTTGGCTGCTGAACTGACTGAGGCACCCAGGTGCCCCTCTTTACTTTCTTTCTCTCTCTTTCTTTCTTTCTTTCTTTCTTTCTCTCTCTCTCTCTCTCTCTCTCTCTCTCTGTTTCTTTCTCTTTCTCTCTCTCTTTCTCTCTTTCTGTCTCTTTCTTTCTTTCTCTCTCTTTCTCTTTCTGTCTTTTTCTTTCTCTTTCTCTTTCTTTCTCTCTCTCTTTCTTTCTTTCTCTCTCTCTCTCTTTCTTTCTTTCTTTTCTTTCTTTCCCCCTCTCTCTCTTTAAGTAGAATCTGTGCCCAACGTGGGGCTCAAACTCATGAACCCAAGAGTAAGAGCTGCATGCTCCACCAACTGAGCCATCCGGGCACCCCAGTTTTTCCCTTTTTTGACCACTCCGGATTCCTCTTATGTTGTTAGCTTTGGTGTTCCTTGGAGTTCTTTCTGAGGTCCCCTCTAGTCTCATTTGCACACTGCCTATTGGTATTATTCATTCCTGTGGGTTCAATTACCATTTGTTGACTGTTCCAAAATGTATATCTCATTCATTTCATGGATATTTATATAGTGCCAACTGTGTGCCTGGTATTGTGTTCCTTGGGGACACCATGGTGAGCAAAACACACGTTTCTTCTCTCATGAAGCTGACAGCCTGTTAAGAACTTTAAGGCTAGATCTCTATCTGGAGTTTCAGATCCACATTACTGTTGTTTCTTGGACATGACTATCTCCTCTGACATGTCCAAACCTGAACTTCTCTCCCAAGCTTGCTGCTCCTCTGTTCCCTGTCTTTGTAAGGGATACCGCTATCTGCCTGGCCAGATAGCTCATCATCATCCTTAACTCTTCTCTCTTCTTCTTCTTCTTCTTTTTAGAGATTTTATTTATTTATTTGTGTATGAGAGAGATTGAACACGAGCCAGGTGAGGGTCAGAGGGAGAAACAGACTCCCTGATGAGCAAGGAGCCCCATGTGGTGCTCGATCCTGGGATTGTGGTATAATGACCTGAGCCAAAGGCTGATGCTTAACATGCTGAACCACCCGGGTGCCCCAACTGTTCTCTCTTCTTTATCCCCTTTGCTACCTTGTTTTGTTTCCAACTTTTAAATATTTCTTTATATTTTTGAAATGTCTAAAGTTCCTAAGATACAAGACATTGTGATCTGGCTGCTCCTTATCTTACCAGCTTCATCTTTTCCTTTTTGAGCCATCTTACTGAACACTTGGAGTTTGTTTTGCAAATAGTATTCTTTCTCTCCAAGCCTTCTTTTTTTTTCTAATTTATTTTATTTCTTTTTATTAAAAAAATTTTTTTTTTAAAGATTTTATTTATTTGACAGAGAGAAAGCACAAGCAGGGGGAGTGGGAGAGGGAGAAGCAGGCTCCCCGCTGAGCAGGGAGCCTGATGCGGCACTCGATCCCAGGACCCCAGGATCATGACCTGAGCTGAAGGCAGATGCTTAACCATCTGAGCCACCCAGGCACCCTCTCCAGGCCTTCTTAAAAGCTGCCTACCTTTGCTTGGCACTCTGTTTCTCTTCTGTTGCCTGGCTAACAGTATTCATCTTTCAGGTTTTAATTCTGAAATGCCTTTTATGAACACCCAGATATGGATTGTGCCCATCTTATATCGTCCCACAGCATGCTCTTCCCTCCCCTCTCATAGCACTTCCAGTGTTTTAGCAAACCAACCTATGGCTTTAATTTCCCCATTAACTACTAGGAGGCAGTAGGATTTAATAGATACTTGTTAGTTGGTTGGAGGGATGGATGAATATGCTGAAGGTCAAATTGCTAAGCCTAACTATTTAAAGTTCTCTTTTGTGCATTCAAGTTATTTGTCCTTACCATTGGTGCCAAGTTATGCTAAAACTTCCAAAAAATTCTTCAATAAGTCCTTTTACTTTTTTTTTTTTTTTTAAGATTTTATTTTTATTTATTTGAGAGAGAGAATGAGAGACAGAGAGCATGAGAGGGAGGAGGGTCAGAGGGAGAAGCAGACTCCCTGCTGAGCAGGGAGCCTGATGCGGGACTTGATCCCGGGACTCCAGGATCATGACCTGAGCCGAAGGCAGTCGCTTAACCAACTGAGCCACCCAGGTGCCCAAGTCCTTTTACTTTTGTATTAAAAAAAAAAGACTTCTGGGGATAGTTATTGCAGATGCTTTACCTACATTGTCCTATACGTAGAAGATATTCTAGAACTACTTTTACATTTAAATTGAAATATTAAGATCATAGGCATTACTGGGGTGCCTGGGTGGCTCAGTCGTTAAGCGTCTGCCTTCGGCTCAGGTCATGATCCCAGGGTCCTGGGATTGAGCCCCACATCAGGCTCCCTGCTCGGCGGGAAGCCTGCTTCTCCCTCTCCCACTCCCCCTGCTTGTGTTCCCTCTCTTGCTGTGTCTCTCTCTGTCAAATAAATAAATGAAATCTTTAAAAAAAAAAAAAAGATCATAGGCATTACTTCTGTATTTCCAAAGGTTGGGCTAGGTGATCCTTTTTCATTTTTCAAAATTTATTATTTTTTGTTTATATCTTTTTTGTTTTGTTTGTTTTTGGAGGGAGTCTAGGTGATTTTTAAAAGTCATGATACTCTAATAATTTTAAACTTAATGTGGCTTCCTTTTTGTATTTTATTTTATTTTATTTTTTTAATTTTTTTTTAAAGATTTTATTTATTTATTCGAGACAGAGAATGAGATAGAGCATGAGAGGGTCAGAGGGGGAAGCAGACTCTCTGCCGAGCAGGGAGCCCGATGCAGGGAGCCCGATGCAGGACTCTATCCAGGGACTCCAGGATCATGACCTGAGCCTAAGGCAGTCGCTTAACCAACTGAGCCGCCCAGGCGCCCTCCTTTTTGTATTTTAATTAATTTTCGATTTGAGTTGCTGCTTGAAAAATACGTTTGAATAAAATTTCCACACAAATGAGGGTTAAGTGCCCAAACTTAATTTTAACTATTTGCTTATGATCTTTTTTTTTTTTAAAGATCTATTTATTTATTTGAGAGAGCGAGAATGAGAGAGAGAGAGTACATGAGAGGGGGGAGGGTCAGAGGGAGAAGCAGGCTCCTCGCTGAGCAGGGAGCCCGATGCGGGACTCGATCCCGGGACTCCGGGATCATGACCTGAGCCGAAGGCAGTCGCTTAACCAACTGAGCCACCCAGGTGCCCCCTATTTGCTTATGATCTTTTGATAGACATTTTTTCCCCTAAGATTTTATTTATTTATTTATTTGAGAGAGAGAATGAGTGACCAAAGCAGTCGCTTAACCAACTGAGCCACCCAGGTGCCCTAACAACATTTATTTTTGAAGAATGTTTCATTCTGAAGAACAGGGAATATTTTATTTCTTGGGCATTAAAACATATATTGGTTAAAAGCCTCCACTAGTTTATTATGATATAATAAAATTTCTAATTTCTATTATCAGATCTTTAGTTTGAATTTTCTTTCAGTTACCTGTTGCCCTAGCCTCATTTTTTGTTACTGCTACCTATTCAAAAACAAATACCTTTTGAAAAGTTAAACAGGTTGCACAGAAGTGTGGAATCAAATATAACAGGCTTTTGTAAAACCAGAAGGGTAACTTTTTAAAAAGGCTATTGTTTGTCTATGGTTCTACTATGAAAATAGTCTACTTGAACTTGTTTGATGTGATTTGGGAAACATTTAACAGAGATTACCCACTTATTTGTGGCTCTGTTAGTTTTAACTCTTTAAAGAATATTTTTGTGCTGGGATAGGAATTCATCCAGTAATTTACTCAGTGTTAACTACCTCTAAGCTAGCTGAGGGCCAGGAAGCGAGCAAAGATTTCTGAAGAGGTAAAATGAATGTCTCAAATTTTGTGTAGTAAAGTTCATGATCTTGGCCTACTGAATAAACATTTAAAGGCAAAGCACTTATTCATAGTATCCTTATGCTATTCTATTCTGTTCTGTTCTATTCTATTCTAATTTAAGAGAATGTGTGCCTGTGAGGAGCAGGGGGAGAGGGAGAGAGAGCATCCCAAAGGGGGCTCTGTGCCCAGCATGGAGCCTGATGTGAGGCTAGATCTCAGGACCCTGAGATCATGACCTGAGGTGAAACCAAGAGTCAGATGCTGGGGTGCCTGGGTGGCTCCGTTGGTTAAGAGATCGAGCATTGAGCGTCTGCCTTCAGTTTGGGTATGCATGATCCCTGGGTCCTGGGATGGAGCCCCGCATCGGCTCCCTGCTCTGTGGGAAGCCTGCTTCTCTCTCTCCCACTCCCCCTGCTTGTGTTCCCTCTCTCACTGTCTCTCTGTCAAATACATAAATAAAATCTTAAAAAAAAAAAGTCTGATGGCTAACCAACTAACCGACTGAGCCACCCAGTATCCTTATTTATGTATGTATTTATTTATTTATGAAAGATTTTATTTATTTGATACACAGAGAGAGCACAAACAGGGGGAGCGGCAGGCAGAGGGAGAGGGAGAAGCACTGATGCGGGGCTCGACCCAGGATGCTGGGATCATGACCTGAGCTGAAGGCAGATGCTTAAATGACTGAGCCACTCAGGTGCCCCAGTATCCTTTATTTTATTTTATTTTATTTATTTTTATTTTTTACTTTTTACTTGAAAGTGTGTTTTTGTTTTATTTTTAAGATTCTGTTCATTTATTTGACAGGGAAAGCACAAGCCAGGGGGATTGGGAGAGGGAGAAGCAGACTCCCTGCTGAGCAGGCAGCCCAGTGCAGGGCTCCATCCCAGGGATCATAACCTGAGCTGAATACACTTAACCGACTCAGCCACCTAGATGCCCCAAGTATCGGTATTTTAAGTAAAATAGTTTCTTAGCCCTCAACAGGTTATAAACAACAAATTAAGAGAGTATCTATTAGAGATAAGTACTTATATATAACAAATGGCAGGTATCTCTGAAGCAGGATACTGAAAATTATAAAAAGTGGCTAAGGGCAGTGCAGTGTCAAAGGGCAAGGGCAATAGGGTCAGATTGCCTTAGTTCAAGTCCTGGCTCTATTACTTCCTAGCTTTGAAATCATGGACAGGTTTCTTAATGCCAAACCTCAATTTCTTTTTTTTCTTTTTGAAGGTTTTGCTTATTTGACAGAGAGAGAGCGCAAGCACAAATAGGGAGAGGAGGAGAAGGAGAAGGAGGTTTCCCGCGGAGCAGGGAGCCCAATGCGGGGGCTTGATCCCAGGACCCTGGGATCATGACCTGAGCCAAAGGCAGATGCCCAACTGAGTGAGCCACCCAGGCGCCCCGAAACCTCAATTTCTTAATTATAAGTAGGGATAATAATAGTAACAACCTTAGTAAGGTTGTTGTGAGGATTATACAAGAAAAATGAGCTTTTCAAAGCCCCAGGCATTTGGCTAATAAGTACTAAATGTTACCTGTATTTCTGATATCTACCTATCTATCCATCTCATTTATTTATTTATAAAACAGATGTTAATTAAGCACTCTGTGTCCAGACCAGAGGTACAAGAATGAATAGTCCAGGGTATTGCTCTTGAGGAGCTCATAGTCTAGTGGGGGGAGGCTAATGTAAATAACTAGGGCAGCTTTATGTAAGTATTTTTATTTTATTTTATTTTTTTTAAAGATTTTATTTATTTGACAGAGAGAAAGAGATAGTGAGAGAGGGAACACAAGCCAGGGAGTATGTGAGAGGGAGAAGCAGGCTTCCTGCTGAGCAGGGAGCTGGACGTGGGGCTCCATCCCAGGACCCTGGGATCATGACCTGAGTCGAAGGCTGACGCGCTTAATGGTTGAGCCACTCAGGTGCCCCTTTATGTAAGTATTTTAAACAAGTATTGTATATACAAGATGCTATATATAGGAATAAGTTCATAGAGACAGGGTGGCATTTAACTGGGTTATATGTCACAAATCCAAAGTATGAAGGGTTTGATAGTGTGTGACTATTCAGAAAACTACAAAAACATGACATTTATTTTTCCTATATTTAAGTAGTAAATATTAATTTTCCATATGTTCTTTGATAATGTACTAGTACTTCTGCCACATAGGGGAGTGGCAAGAATTGAGGTTGAACAGATAATCAGGTGTCAGAAAGTAAGGGACAGTATTTTCAAATTTCTTGAAGGCATCACATACTGTAATACAGTATGGCTTATAATTGTGCTTCACGGTGATTCATAATGATGCTTCTTCCCAACATGAGGTTACATTTTATTTGTTATGCTCTCTTTTAAGGAGGTAGGTGTGTATGAAATTCTAGAAACATTTTGAATTAAAACATGTGATAAAATTGTTTTGGTTCTTCAGATTCTCTTAAAAATATGGTTATGAAGACTACTTCATTTCTTAGTGATACTGTCAACTGATAGTATTAATATTGTTGACCTTGAACATTTTCATTCCCCTAACAGACTGCATTTATTTTAATTCAGGTAACTTGATTTTTTATTCCTGTGAAAATTGCACTTTATTTAGTTGTCAACATATTTTTTTCCTTAAAAAAATTTTTTTTTTAAAGATTTTATTTATTTATTTGACAGAGAGAGACACAGCAAGAGAGGGAACACAAGCAGAGGGAGTGGGAGAGGGAGAAGCAGGCTTCCTGCTGAGCAGGGAGCCCGATGTGGGGCTCGATCCCAGGACCCAGGAATCATGACCTGAGCCGAAGGCAGATGCTTAACCACTGAGCCACCCAGGCGCCCCATTCCTTAAAATTTTTATTGTGGTAAAATATACATAGCGTAGGGCCTCCTGGGTGGCTCTCCTTGTATACTCCCTTGTAGGTCTCCTGATCCATGAACCTGATGCTTTCCATTTATTTAGTATAACAATGTTTTGTTGTTGTCAGAGTAAAAGTTTTGCTTTTTTTTTTTTTTTTTTAAGATTTTATTTATTTGACAGAGAGAGATACAGCGAGAGGAGGAACACAAGCAGGGGGAGAGGGAGAGGGAGAAGCAGGCTTCCTGCCGAGCAGGGAGCCCGATCGATCCCAGGACCCTGGGACCATGACCTGAGCCGAAGGCAGACGCTTAATGAATGAGCCACCCAGGCGCCCCTAAAAGTTTTGCATTTCTTTTGTTAAATTTACTTCTAGGCATTTAGTTCTTTTACCCTTAAGTATTGCCCTTGTATATGTATATACAAGTCTCTTATCAGATATATGACTTGCTAATATGTTCTCCCATTCTGTGTGTTGTCTTTTTACTTTCTTTTTTTTTTTTAAGTAGTTTCTACACCCAATGTGGGGCTTGAACTCATGACCCCAAAATCAAGAGACACATGCTCTACCGACTGACTCAGCCAAGTCCCCCCACCTTTATACTTTCTTTTTTTTCTTTTTAAGATTTTATTTATTTATTTGACAGAGACACAGCCAGAGAGGGAACACAAGCAGGGGGAGAGGGAGAGGGAGAAGCAGGCTTCCCGCCGAGCAGGAAGCCTGATGCAGGGCTTGATCCCAGGACCCTGTGACCATGACCCGAACTGAAGGCAGAGGCTTAACGACTGAGCCACCCAGGCGCCCCCCCCCCCCCTTTTTACTTTCTTGATAATGTCCTTTGAAACACAAAAGTTTTTAATTTTGTTGAAGTCCAGTTTTATCTATTTGTTTCTTTTATTGCCTGTGCTCTTTGTGTATATAGAAGAAACCATTGCCTAGATCGATGTTATAAGAATTTTACACCTACGATTTCTTCTCAGAGTGTTATAGTTTTAGGTCTTAGATTTAGGTGTTTGACCCATTTTGAGTTGTTTTTAACATATGGAGTCCAAATTAATTCCTTTGCATGTGGATATCCAGTTGTCCCAGTAGCATTTGCTGATGAGACCATTCTTTTCCCAGTGAATTATCTTGATACCCTTGTTGAAATTTAATTGACTGTAAATCTGAGGGTTTCTTTCTGGACTCTCAGTTGTATTCTTTTGATCTATATATCTATCCTAAGCCAGTACTACCCTGTTGTGATTACTGTTGTTTTGTAATAAGTTTTGAATTTGAGGAATATGTCCTCCAACTTTGTTCTTCTTCTTTTTTTTTTTTTTAATTTTTTATTGTTATTGTTCCTCTTTTTTTAAGATTATTTTGGTCATTCTGGGTCCCTAGAATTTCCATATGATTTTTAGGATCAGTTTGTCAATTTCTGCAAAGAAGCTCTCTTGGGTTTCCATAGGGATTTTGTTTAATTTGTAGATCAGTTTGGAGAGTATTGCCATCTTACCAATATTAGGTCTCCTGTTCCATGAACATGATGCTTTCCATTTATTTAGTTTTTTAGTTTCTTTCAACAATGTTTTGTTGTTGCCAATAAAAGTTTTGCATTTCTTTTGTTAAATTTACTTTTAGGCATTTAGTTCTTTTTGATGCTTTTGTAAATGGATTTGTTTCCTTTACTGCAAAAAAAAGTTATTTATTTATTTTTTAAAAAAGATTTTATTTATTTATTTGACAGAGAGAGAGACAGCGAGAGAGAGAACACAAGCAGGGGGAGTGGGAGAGGGAGAAGCAGGCTTCCTGCTGAGCAGGGAGCCCGATGCGGGGCTCGATCCCAGGACCCTGGGATCATGACCTGAGCCGAAGGCAGACGCTTAACAACTGAGCCACCCAGGCGCCCCCAAAAAGTTATTTTTTTATTTTTAAATTTTTTATTTTTTTAAAAGATTTTATTTATGTGAGAGAGAGAGAGACCATGAACAGGGGGGAGGGGCAGAGGGAGAGGCAGAAGCGTAGTCCACGCTGAGCAGGGAGCCTGACGTGGGACTTGATCCTAGGACCCCAGGATCATCACCTGAGCCCAAGGCAGACAGTTAACCAACTGAGTCAAGCAGGCACCCCGAGTTATTCTTTAAAAAAAAAAAAGATTTATTTTATTTATTTATTTGAGAGAGAGAGAGTGCATGTGTACACAGGTGTGCAAGCCAGGAGAGGGGCAGAGGAGAGGAAGGAGAGAAGCAGACTCCCCTCGGAGCATGGAACCTGACATGGGGCTCAATCCCAGGGCCCCAAGATGATGACCTGAGCCAAAATCAGGAGTTGGATGCCTAACCGACTGAGCCACCCAGGTACCCCTAATTATTCTTTTTTCCCCCTAATTACTATTCTTAAGGTAAACTCTACCCACAATGTGGGGCTTGAACTCATGACCCCAAGATCAAGAGTAGCATGCTCTACTGACTGAGCAAAGCAGGAGCCCCTTAATTTTCTGATCATTGCAAATGTTTAGAAATACACTTTTTTTTTTTTTAAAGATTTTATTTATTTATTTGACAGAGAGAGACACAGCGAGAGAGGGAACACAAGCAGGGAGAGTGGGAGACGGAGAAGCAGGCTTCCCACTGAGCAGGGAGCCAGATGCAGGGCTCGATCCCAGGACCCCGGGATCATGACCTGAGCTGAAGGCAGACATTCAACGACTGAGCCACCCAGGTGCCCCTCGAAAGACACTTAATTTTTTGTATATTGATCTTGTATCCTGCTGAACTTATTTATTCTTTTTTTTTTTTTTTAAAGATTTTATTTATTTATTCGTGAGAGACCGAGAGAGAGAGAGAGAGGCAGAGGGAGAAGCAGGCTCCCAAGGAGCAGGGAGCCCGATGCGGGACTCGATCCCAGGACGCTGGGATCACTACCTGAGCCGAAGGCAGACGCTTAACCATCTGAGCCACCCAGGCGCCCTGAACTTATTTATTCTAATAGATTTTTAAATATACATTATCATGTCATCTGCAAATAGAGGTAGTTTTACTTCTGTTTCTACAATCTGGATGCCTTTTATTTAATTTTCCTGCCTAAATACCCTAATTAGAACCTCCTGGTACAATATGGAATAGAACTGGCAAGAGTAAAATTTTTGTCTTGTTTCTGATCTTATGGGGAAAGCATTCAGTCTTTACCCATGAAATATGAGGTAGTTGTGGGGTTTTGTAGATGCTTTTTGAGGGAGTTCCTTTCTATTCCTTGTTTGTAGAGTTTTCTCTACATTTCATTTTTTCATTATGAAGAGATGCTGAATTTTTTCAAGTGCTTTTTCTGTAACTATTTAGATAAGCCAGTGCTGTTCAGATATATTTTTAGGTCTGTGTGTGTGTGTGTGTGTAACATCTGGAAATAACAAGACACAAGTCTAATTTTATAACTAAAGTTTGAATAGTATAAAATTAATTTTTAAAAAAGGCATATGTGTACACCTAAAATTAAAACTATATGTGAAAAGCTAAAATAATGACCATATCCCCTCCTTGGTAGGATGGTTAGGGAAGGCCACAGGGGACATAACATTTCAGTTATGATATGAAGGATGAGGAAGAGACCATCAAAGGAGAGTGTCCTAGACAAAGGAAATGAGGCTCTGAGGTAGGAAACAATTTAAAATCAGGAGTCAGCCAATGTAGAGGAAAGGGAGGGGATGAGGTAGGAGAATCATGGAGGAGCTGCTCACTCACTGGGCCTTATGGGCTAAGGTAGAGTTTAGAAGTCTACACTTGTGTTGTAGCAGGAAGCCATTGATGATCTTCAGTCAAAGCCATAAAATGTGTCTTTAATTCATACTAAAGTATTTGTAGTGAAATCTTATGATGCTGAGGTTTGTTGGGGGAAAAGAGGAAGAATATAGACAAAACAGGATGTGCCATGTGCTGATAATTGTTGAAATTAGGTGATGGTATATAGGGGTTTATTATACTGTTCTCTCCTCCATTATGCATGTTTGAAAATTCCCAATACCATTAAAAAACAAGACACAGAAAACAACTGAAAAGAAAAATTATCCACTGTTGTTGGTTTTTTTTTTTTTAAGATTTTATTTATTCATTTGAGAGAGAGCTAGAGAGAGAAGAGAGCATGAATGGAGGGAGGGGCAGACAGAGAAGGGGAGGGAGAATCAGACTCCCCACTGAGCGGGCAGTCCAACAGTGGGGTTCAGTCCCAGGACTCTGATATCATAACCTGACCTAAGTCAGATGTTTAATTTACTGAGCCACCCAGGTGCCCCTCCCTGTTTTTTTCTTTGTAGATAATTTTTAGATTTTCTTCAGTACTATAGACTTCTTTTCAGGATAACATTTTCTGAATTTTCTTAGTAATATAAACATTTTTAAAATAGTCAAGTGTTGAAATAAGTCACAGTGTCAGGTTTTAAGATGTGTAAATTAATTAACTCAGAAATGTAAAATATTGATCACATACCTACAGAAGCACAAAACTGTGAGTCAGTAAAGAATTACTTGGCTGGTCTGGTAAACTTTAGAGTGCTATACCGTTTCTGGTTTTATCAGTATGGTAATCAATTCCTGCTTGATAGTCTCTGTCATAGGCCAATGAGTTTCGATTCTTGTTTCTTGGGGTAAGACAGTAGAAAATGAATGTTCTCTGTGTGCTGTGGTAGTCCGTCACAAGGGCTAAAAGGAATATGAAATATACAGGCGCAAGAATAGTGTAGCTCATGTGGAATAAATGGTCATGTTCAATTACATTTATACAGTTATGGATGACAGTTTGGGCAATGAGTAATTCTTTTTGTGTGTGTGAGTAAAATTCACATGTGTTGTACTTGTTTGGCTATTTTGTCTAAAGGTTTTTTTTGTTTTTATTTACTTTTCCTGTTAATAAATGCAATACATGCTCTTTGTGATAAACAAAACAGAATCAAAGCATTATAGAAATACTTCTAGAATCCTGCCTATTAGAGAAACCTCACTTTTTTTTTTAAAGATTTATTTTAGAGAGCAAGAGCCTTACCCCCTCTTCCCCCCCGCCCCGGGGAGGGGGGAAGAGGGGGCAGTAGCAGAGGGAGAGGAAGAAGCAAACTTTTCCCTGAGCAGGAGCCTGACCCATGAGCTCAATCCCAGGACCCCGAGATCATGACCTGAACTGAAGTCAGATGCTTAACCAACTGAGCCACCCAGGCGCCCCTCCCTGTATCTTGCCCACACTTGACACTCTCAGACTTTTTGGCTTTAGTTTCTAATCTGATATTTGTGAAACAACCTTTAAATTTGTTTTTCTCAGATCACTACTCTGGTTGAGTATATTTTCTTATATTTATTGGTGATCTGCTTGCCTTTTCTGTGAATTGCCTGTTCAGTTTCATTTACTCATAACTGGCAACAACCTGTGTCTGTCTGGATAGATCTAAATTATTCTTTACAATGGCTTTATAGTATTCCCTTATATGATCATCAACGGCTATAACAGACCATTGGGGGAAAAGGACTGGAGAACCTATACTTAATTATTTTTAGAAATTTTAATTCCAGTACAGTAAATATAAAAATTTGGAATGCTTCACAAATTTGTGTGTCATCCTTGTGCTGAGGCCATGCTAATCTTCTCTGTATGTCCTAATTTTAGTATATGTGCTGCTGAAGCTAACATGGGAATCTGTACTTTAAATTAGACCTAAGAGATGTATCATCCAAAAGCAACATAGGGACTTTGTTTGCATCCTGGCTATGAACATTTATGAGACAGCCAGGAAAATCTGAATGGTGACTGGATATTCCCTATTATTTCATTAAGGATTGAGAAATGGTGCTATTGTAACTTAGTTATTCCTTCAGCATTTTTTACCTAATTTTCTTATAAAAGAGAACCTCTCCCTCATCAACTGTTTGATTACCCTAAGGTATAGTTTGTGCAAGAAAGATAGGATAAGTGCTATATTATTCAGTTCATACTTTCGTAATTTCCAGGAGCTCTTCCTTCTTCTTGCTCTTCCCCTACCCCCACCTCTTTCTAAAAATAGCATACTGTTCTGATTTCATGGATGTAATGACTTTTCTTTGGTCTTTGACTATATTAATTATAGTTTTCATTTGTTCCTGTTTTGTCTGTTTCCTCAGAGTCCCATTTTCTTCCTGGTAGTTTTGGTCTCTTTCAGGTTGGAGCTTCACGTGCCTGATAACCAGTAATTATCCCTTCATGTTTTAAGCATGAGGCACTAAAAAAAGGAGGGCCAGAAGCTTTGTGTGCCTGGAAGCAGTTTATTGCCAATTGGGAACCCAGATTTCAGTATCCCATGGTCTTTTTGCTCAGAGGCATTTGAGTTTTGCCAAGGAAAGATAATGTCATGGGGAGTGGAGTGGTAGATAAGCCTAGTCATTATGAGAATCTGGGTGAGGGCCAGAATGGAAAGGGGGCTATCAGTGTTGCTTCTTGGTATATAGATTTTCACTTAATTCTTTTCTTTTCATTTAGCACCTATTTGTTAGGGGTATTCCCTTGTGTAGAATCTCTCTTATTGAGGGGTGCCTGGGTGGGTGGCTCAGATGGTTAAGCATCTGCCTTCAGCTCAGGTCATGATCTCCGGGCCCTGGGATTGAGCCCCTACTTGGGGTTCCTGCTCTGTGGGGTGTCTTCTCCTTCTCCCTCTGCCCCTCCCCTCTGCACTTGTGCTCACACGCCTGCTCTCTCTCTCAAATGAATTAATTAAATCTTAAAAAAAATAGAATCTCTTACTGAGTCTATTCAGAAAACAGATTTCTTGTCTTCTGTGTGGGTAGACAGGAGGGCCACCTGGCTCCTCTGGGATGGCACTGGGGATGTATTAGGGATGTTACTCACTTTTACTAGTGCATCCAACTGGGCCACTTGTATGCCCCACCTTTTTTTTTTTTCCCCCAGTAAGTTCTATGCCCAGTACGGGGCTTGAACTCATGACCCCCCCCCCCCTGCCCCCGAGATCAGGAGCTGCATGCTCTACCTACTGAGACTGAGCCAGCCAGGCACCCCTAGTTGGTTGTCTTAAACAGGATCAAATAAGATGGTTCACATATTTACATTGGTTAATGTTTCTTAAATTTCTCTTAATCTCTAACAGCTCTCCATTTTTTCCCCCTTGCTAATGAGTTTTGAAGAAACTGGACCATTTGTATTTTGAAAATTTTCCACATTTTGGATTGGAGGGGGAAATCATATCCTTTGGGTATTGTTTAATATGGTCTATCCTCTTGGGGTTCCTGGCTGGCTCAGTTGGAAGAGCATGCGACTTTTGATCTTGGGTTTGTGAGTTTGAGCCCCACCGTGGGTATAGAGATTAGCTAAATAAATAAATTAAAAACTTTAAAAAATATATGGTTTCTCATTTCTTAAAGATACTACATTGAAAAACAATTACATTTAATGGAACTAATTATTATCAAATGGAATTTGATAATAATTACCTAATGTAATGCAATATTTTCCTTCTCCCACTCTGCAGAGTAAATGTGGGGATACTTAGCATTAATAAGTTGTCAGCCTTTTATTTGGTGGTATTATTTTTTAGACAACTACTGTAGTCAAAGTTACTAATAAAGGGCTTTTCTTTTTTTGGCTCTTGCATCTTTACTCCCAATTAGGAACAGTCTCTAGGGACTTTTTTTTTTTGAAACTTCGGGTGCTTGCCTTTTCAAAGTATTCATTTGTTTTCTCCAGAACAGTGGGGCAAAACAGCCCCTATAAGCCATCTGGACTTGAAACCATTTTGCTTCGTCACAAAGCTTATTCTTTTTAGATCCTGACATAAGTCTGTATTGTTTACTGACTTTTTTTTTTTTTTTAACAGTGTCTAGTTGCTCCCAGGAGAGTACTGTCTGAAGTTATGTCAATGTTGTTGGCTGATTAGTAATTGAGAGGGGAAAGGGGCATTTAGTGAAGAGGGGTTTATCTTTTATCATACATGCTAAAAAAGCCCATGCATGGGCTCTTACCCTTTCCACCCAACACTTTTTTAAAAAAGATGTGCAAGAGAGAAGACATAAAGACAAAGACACAGAGGGTTGGGGGAGATGTGTGCCCTACAGCAACATTCCTGAGAGATTTGACAAACTGCTATGCAGAAGGGGAGTAACCAGAATTTTCCAGGGGTTGAATGCTCTTGGAATTTGAAAAACTGCTGCTCTCCTGCCTTGATTTTTGTTGTTGTTGTCATTGTTTCAAGTTTTTGTTTAAAGATTTTACTTATTGGACGCCTGGGTGGCTCAGTTGGTTAAGCGACTGCCTTCGGCTCAGGTCATGATCCTGGAGTCCCTGGATCGAGTCCCGCATCGGGCTCCCTGCTCAGCGGGGGGTCTGCTTCTCCCTCTGACCCTCCCCCCTCTCATGTGCTCTCTCTCATTCTCTCTCTCTCAAATAAATAAATAAAATCTTAAAAAAAAAAAAAAGATTTTACTTATTTATTTGACAGAGAGAGTACAAGCAGAGGGACCGAGAGGGAGAGGGAGAAGCAGACCCCCTGCTAAGCAGGGAGTCTCATGAGGGGCTCAATCCCAGGACCTGGGAACATGACCTGAGCCAAAGGCAGATGCTTAACCAACTGAGCCACCCAGGCGCCCCTTAAGTTTTTGTTTAAATTCTAATTAGTTAACGTATAGTGTAATATTGGTTTCGGGAGTACTGCCTTGATTTTGATATTGCCCTAACCCCCCCAGCATTTGCCAAATGTAGTGGAGGGTGACCAACTTGATAAAGTTTGCCACTAAAAAGAAGTTAAGGCACATTTAATCAGTTATGATTGGCCATAGGCTTCTTATGAGCTTTCATATACTTTTTCCCCCCCTCCTTCAAAATGTTTCTGGCTAGGGTAATGCCTCAAGCCTTATTTCCTTTGCATAAAAATAATGCATTATATGCAAATTTTGGTGATAAAAGGAATTTTAGTTGGGTTGGGAACTTTTGTTTTTTTATTAAAGATTTGACAGAGAGATAGCAAGAGCAGGAACACAAGCAGGGGGAGTGGGAGAGGGAGAAGCAAACTTCCCGTTGAGCAGGCATCTGGCGGATGCAGGGCTCAGATGCAGGGCTCGATCCCTGTACTCTGGGATCATGACCTAGGCGAAAGGCAGATGCTTAACTAAGCTACCTAGGCGCCCCTTGCTATTATTTTAATATGTGCCTCCAAATCTTTTCTTTATTCCTCCAGTTTTTTATGATCATGCTACCTGTAATGTTTTATATCAAAAAAGCCCTTAAGGAATGTATGAAAAAATAATACTTTTCATACATTTTCTAAATACTTTAAACATTTTTTTTTTTTTAAGATTTTATTTATTTATTTGACAGAGAGAGACACAGAGGGAACACAAGCAGGGGGAGTGGGAGAGGGAGAGGCAGGCTCCCCACTGAGCAGGGAGCCAGATGCGGGGCTCGATCCCAGGACCCTGGGATCATGACCTGAGCCGAAGGCAGACGCTTAACCATCTGAGCCACCCAGGCGCCCCTCTAAATACTTTAATCCACATTGTTAACCTGCAGTTGGGTTGTGCCAGTTACACCCCAAATAATGAGATAATTTATTTAGAAATAAATATCCTGTGTGTGCAGGTGCATACCTCACAGGTAGCTCCCCTTGATATTAAAAATAAATTCTATTACCCATAGCTACCTCCTTTTTTTTTAAGTTTTTATTTAAATTCCAGTTAGTTAATATACAGTGTTATATTAGTTTCAGGTGTACAATATAGGGACTGAGCACTTCCATACATCACCCGGTACTCATCACAAGTGTACTCCTTAATCGCCATCATCTATTTCACCCATCCCCCTGATGTGATTTGAAGTGGGGTTCAGCAAAGAAAGAATTCTTGAAACATTTTCGGTGGAGAAAGGTGGTTTTATTATAGTACGGGGATAGGACTCGTGGGCAAACAATGCTGCACTGGGATTGTGAAGAGCAGTTGATCATATACTTAGGAATTGGGGGAGGTGAAGACAAAAGGAAGTTTCCAAAAGGATTTTCCTATGTCAAAGAAGACTTACAGGATCCTGGAGGCCTAGCTATTATCAAGCTAAGGTTGTTTTTCCTCTAGCAAGGCATTGACGTTAAGATTGGGAGTTCCTGGAGGAATGTCATAGTTTGTCTGCCTCAAGTATTTGTCAAAGGGCTACAGGTTATAAGAAAACTTATTTTTCTTTTTAAGATTTTATTTATTTATGTGAAAGAGAGAGAGAGAGCATGAGTGGGGTAAGGGGCAGAGGGAGAAATGGACTCCCCGCCAAGCAAGGACCCTGACGTGGGGCTCGATCCTGGGGCTCCAGGGTCATGACCTGAGCCAAAGGCAGAGGCTTAACCAACTGAGCCACCCAGGCGCCCCAGAAAACTTAATTTCATCTACATTTTTTTTGCCTTTGTTCTCTACATCACCCCCAACCACCTCCCTTCTGGTAACCATCAGTTCGTTCTCTGTAGTTACAAGTCTGTTTCTTGGTTTGCCTGTCTCTTTTCTTTTTCCCTTTGCTCGTTATCCTGTTTCTTAAAATCCACATATGAGTGAAGTCATATGGTCTTTGTCTTTCTCTGACTTATTTCACTTAGCATTATATTCTCTAGTTCCATCCATCTTGTTGCAAATGGCAAAAATTCATTCTTTTTTATGGCTAATTTTCCATTATATATATATATATATATATAAAACACATCTTCTTTATCCATTCATCAATCAGTGAACACTTGGGCTATTTATTTCCATAATTTTGCTGTTGTAGATACCTACCCCCTTTGTTTATCCCAGATAAGCAATTATCACCATCCGCCATTGGTTAAACTAGAAATCTGTCCTTTTTCCTGATTTTTCTTTCTTCTGTCTTCTCCCTTACATTCATTCAGTCACCAATTCTGTGTATTTTACCTCCAACAAAGGATGAATTCATCCTCCTCTCCATTCTCACTGACACTGCTTATAATCCTCTGTCATTTGGACTACTGTGGTGACCTCTGGTCTCCCTTTACACACTCAGACTTCCCCAGCCCCCTCCATTGCATTTCCCATTTGGTTTCAGACTGAGCTTTCCAGAGTGTGAGTCAAGTTCAGCATCCCTGATATGATCTAGTATCCTGCAAGGCCCTGTGTGATTTGGTCCTTGATTTTCCAGCCTCATCTCTGGCCATTCTCTCTCACTTTCCTTTTTTTTTTCTCCTTAAGATTTTATTTATTTATTTGACAGAGGGAGAGAGAAAGCAGAAGCAGGGGGAGTGGCAGGCAGAGAGAGAGAAACAGGCTCCCCACTGAGCAAGGAGCCCTGGGATCATGACCTGAGCCGAAGGCAGACGCTTAACTGACTGAGCCACCCAGGCACCCTAAACTATGTGATTTTTTAAAAGTCTCATTTCATATTTGGATTTTGAAATGTTAACTCCTTATTGTAGAAAGTCTTCCAAGAATCATGCCATATAGAAGCCTGAGACTGAATTGTAAACCAAGGTTGTGCTGTTACATCCCATATTGGTGTCACTTGGGTAGTAACAGAAACACCAGCCATCTCTTATCAGCATCAGCCTCAAATTAGGTGACTATTGAATTATGTGAGATCTTCAGAAATTCATATTTTGTTAGTCACCTATGTTTAATGCCTGTTTTCTTTTGCTAAATTTCAAACAATGGAACATAGGAACCAGGGCTGTCTTGTAACCTTCCTGGCATCTTAGGATACTTAGAACAATAAGGACTCAAGCTGTGTGTTGAGAGGATGGATGGATGGATAGATGGATGGATGGATGAATGGATGAATGGAATCTTACTTGCCCACAAAGTCAATTTGTGAATCAGAGGAGAGATTCTCAACTTACTCTTTGGCTAATGGTTTATTCTTTACATCAGCTACTCAAATTTCAACCCTAAATTGTATTTTGCTGCGCATGCCATGGTCTTTATGCCTGCCTTTGCATGTGCTGTTACCTCTGTCTGGAATGTCTTTACCCCACTTCCTCAGATAAACTGTTTCTTTCAGAGTCAGCTGAAATTCAGGCCTTTGCCTTTTTTCTCTTTTTCTTTAATTAATGTAAGCTCTACACTCAACCTGGGGCTTGAACTCACCGTCCCATCAAGAAGTCCCCCATCAAGAGTTACATACTTTACCAACTGAGCCACCTAGGTGCCCCTGGGCTGCTCTCTCTTTCTCTTTTAATAGTTTAATGTAGTATTATTATTATTTTTAAAGTAGGCTCCAAGGCCAGCATGGAGCCCAGTGTGGGGCTTGAACTCACCACCCTGAGATCAAGACCTGGGCTGAAATCAAGAGTTGGTCACTCAACCAACTGAACCACCCTTGAGCTCCTAGTTTATTGTATTTTAAGAGCAAACTTACAGGAACAGCACAGAAGACAGGCAACATTAAAAACATGTACTTAGATGTAGGACAACTTGGAAATGTATAGTACTGTCAATAAGAAATTTACTTGTTTTAAAAATATCCAAATGCGGGGCGCCTGGGTGGCTCAGGTGGTTAAGCGTCTGCCTTCAGCTCGGGTCATGATCCCAGGGTCCCTGGATCGAGCCCCGCATCGGGCTCCCTGCTCTGCAGGGAGTCTGCTTCTCCCTCTGCTGCTCTCATGCTCTCCCTCACTCTCTTTCCCTCTCAAATAAATAAACAAAATCTTAAAAAAAAAAAAAAAAAAATCCAAGTGCTGGCATTGTCCAGAAAAATTTAACAGGTTTATTTATAATTTTTATAAAGTTGAACTCCTGAAATGTGTTCACAGAAACATTTTGACTTTGGGCTTTTTTAAAAAAGATTTTATTTATTTGTTTGACAAAGAGATAGCACAAGTAGGCAGAGCGGCACGCAGAGGGAGAGGGAGAAGCAGCTCTCCGCTGAGCAGGGAACCCAATTTGGGGCTTGATCCCAGGACTCTGGGATCGTGACCTGAGCTGAAGGCAGCCACTTAACAGACTGAGCCACCCAGGTGCCCCAATATTGTCTTTTTTTTTTTTTTTTTAGATTTTACTTATTAATTTGACAGAGAGAGATAGCAAGAGCAGGAACACCAGCAGGGGGAGTGGGAGAGGGAGAAGTGGACTCCCTGCTGAGCAAAGAGCCCAATGCAGGACTTGATCCCAGGACCCTGAGATGATAACCTGAGCTGAAGGCAGACGCTTAACCAACTCAGCCACCCAGGTGTCCCTGGGCTTTTCTTTTTAAAGCTAGATTTGCCTGAGCGGCTCAGTTGATTAAGCATCTGCCTTTGGCTCAGGTCATGATCCCAGGGTCCTGGGATCGAGCCCCACATCGGGCTCCCTGCTCAGCAGGAAGTCTGCTTCTCCCCCTCTCCCTCCCCCAGCTTTATGTCTCTCTCAAATAAATAAAATCTTAATAAACAAATAAAAGCAGATTTAGTCATTTAATTCTCTATGTTCCTATTGCTCCTTATGTTTGCTTCCATTATAGTACTTAGCATATTATATTGTTAACTGTTTACTCCTTTTCCTTGATGGCTGTCATGAAGTAACTGCCTGGATTGGATGGGTAGATAAAGAGTTTTAGTTTTATATTTAGTATGTTACTTAAGAGTAAATAACATTCTTAGTAGTTGTAATAAATATCTTTTTACTGCCAATTGCTTATTCTGTACTCCTGCTGAGATCTGGAGAATAGTCATTATAAATAGGTGTGTGGCTATATTTAATTGTGACTTTTTTTCCTTCTTTTTTTTTTTTTAAAGATTTTATTTATTTATTTGAGAGAGAGAGAATGAGAGACAGAGAGCAGGAGAGGGAGGAGGGTCAGAGGGAGAAGCAGACCCCCTGCCGAGCAGGGAGCCCGATGCGGGACTCGATCCCGGGACTCCAGGATCATGACCTGAGCCGAAGGCAGTCGCTTAACCAACTGAGCCACCCAGGCGCCCCCTTCTTCTTTTTTTTTTTTTTTAAAGATAGATTTATTTATTTATTTATTTGAGAGAGAGAGAGAGAGAGAGAGAGAGTGAACAGGTGGAAGGATTAGGGAAAGGGAGAGGGAGAAGCAGACTGTCCGCTGAGTGTGGAGCCTGATGAGGGGCTTGATTCCAGGACTCCAAGATCATGACCTGAGCAGAAGGCAGACACTTAAAAGATTGAGCCACCCAGGAGGCCTAACTTTTTTTCTTTGATTAAAAAGTGACAGAATGGGATATGTTCCTATTTTTATGTTATTTCAATTAGTGTGTGTGTTAAGTTGAAATTGGTGGAGTAGAAAGTAGACCTCTTTCTTTCTTTTTTTTTTAAGATTTATTTATTGATTTTAGAGAGCTAGAGAGAGTGTGTGTGAGCATTCGGGATGGGGGAGGGGTAGAGGAAGAGAATCTCAAGCATACTCCCTGCTGATTGTGGAGCCCAGGACCCTGAGCTCATAAATCAGGAATTGGACCCTTAACCAACTGAGCCACCCAGGTGCCCCAAGAAGACTTTAAAACCAGAGCCAGTCATGTTTATAGTATACAAAACTAGTAATGAGGTTCAGCAGTACTCAGATGTGCTACTAACCCACCAAGGATCTCTGAGCAGGGAAGAGAAGTGGAAAGCTTCTAAAAAGAATAACCCATGCCAGCTATTCCCTAATTATTTTCTCTGTAGTGTGAGAAGTTGGGTATAGAAAAAAGAAACCGTTCTCATTACCTCCCTTATACTCTGTCCCCAACCCCCACTGAGAAAAAACAACTTTTCTATGAGGACCAGGAATCTAAACCTTTTTCTGCCAAGCCCTCTTTTGGCATTTAATTGAATTTCATGCCACCTTCTTTCTTTCTTTTTTTTTTTTTAAGATTTTATTTATTTATTTGACAGAGAGAGACACAGCGAGAGAGGGAACACAAGCGGGGAGTGGGAGAGGGAGAAGCAGGCTTCCTGCTGAGCAGGGAGCCCGATGCGGGGCTTGATCCCAGGACCCTGGGATCATGACCTGAGCCGAAGGCAGATGCTGAACGACCGAGCCACCCAGGCGCCCCACCACATTCTTTATTTCTATTCCAATTTTCTTTTTCTTAAGTTCTTATATCAGTGTTTCCTACGTTTCCATTGTTACGTGCCATATAGAGTTAGGCCATTTTCTGAAGTTTTTTGTATTTATCCATGTTGTGTTTCCTGAGCTACTGTGTCCTATAGCAACTTCTATTCCCAAGGTTATTTATATTATCAAGGATATTTCACAAAACAATGACTCAAAACTAGGTTATTTGACAGATCTTTTTGGGGGGTAACAATTTAGAAAATTTCAGTCATTTGTTACTCTTTCTTGATTACTCTTAAGGCTCTTCAGATGTATTTATCCTACTAGCTTTCAGTGCCCCTTTATGATCTGTTAACATGCCTTATCAGAACTGAGGAGTATTTATTTTTGTTGTGTAACAGTCATTAACATTTTAAATGAGGGTGGCAGCTGACATTTCCAAACCAAGATGTAATACACATTTAAAATTGGGATTTTCGGAACAGAGAGAATTTTAAAAGATTATCTTAAAAGAAATCAACATTTACTAATTTTATAAATGGGAGGAAATCATTCTTGATTTCTTATAGACCTTGAAGATGCAGTGAATTTGAATGCATAGTTTTGTGTTTCATATATTTATCTTCCTGAGGAAAGGATCTATTTTCATAA